GCCCCTCCCCTTCCACCCCCTCCCCACACCTAAAAAACTAGTGAAAAACTGAATTGTAGATGGTGATATCTCTCACTCATCAAATGTCATTGATTAATTTGATAGATTATTTTCCCTACACAAGTCATCATGGGTTGCATACAGCTCTCTGTGGATTTCCATTTACCTACGATGTTGTGGATTGAGCCAAGAACTGGTTTTGAACAGGATAATAATCAGTCCTGTGTGAATTGACCCTTTCAAACCTCATTGTCATTCTTTTCCAAGAGGTGAATTTGCATGTCATTTATCAGTTTGGCTTTCCAAAGAAAACTGGTCTCAAACTAGATTTGAATCTAAAATAGGCAAATTTACCTTTCAAAGAATAAAAAGAGGGGAGGGTCTTTCTGTTGCTTTAAAATTTAAGCAGACAGCTTCAATCCCCCTTCCAAATAAAATATTAAATGAATAAAAAAAGAAAGAAAGAAAAGAAAATATAGTTGACTAAATAAACATGTGAGACCAGTTTGCAACTAGTCTAGACTGGTTTACTAGGCTTTGGTAGCCTAGTCCTGTTATATATATATACTAACTAGCAGGACCTTCTCTATGTATACAGACTGGGGAGAAGTTGGCACTGAACACACTGTGACTGAAATACCAAGTAAAATGTCGGCCCTGATGCTGCTCCGTGGAGAACAAGATCCCATTTTTCATGTAACATCTGATCCGTTTATTTGAAAAGATAAAAAGGATGGAATAAAGGTTGTGGAAGAGCCCTGCTCTTTTAACTCTAATTTTGAGAATTGTCTTTTTTTTTTTTTTTTTTTTTTGACAACATTTTCTTTTTATTGAATTAATTACTAGTATACTAGTAATAAATCTATTTTTTATACACCAACATAGCATCTTTTTTGAATCCTCTTGAATCCTCAGTAAGCATGTAATATGAGTGCAATGTATGCACTATGATAGACATTTTAATATAACTAGCTTCCCTCATCTTTGGAAATGTGCCTCGTAACTGCCATATCATACATTGTGTTCTTATCTATATGTTTCTATGTAAATCATAAAAGATGAAAATGAAAAGGATTTTTAGTATGATTATGCACCTGACACTGTAATAAAAGATGTTAGACGTACTGGGGACCAAAATATGATGACCTTTTCAAGTTATTTTCTCTTTAGACATTTCTCAGACATTTCAAATTTCTTGGCATACATATATCTGATGATCTTAAATGGCACATTAACATAGATGATATTGTCCGCAAAGCTCAGCAAAGACTCTACTTTCTACGACGATTGAGGTCATTCTATGTCAACCAAGAACTGCTGGCAAAATTTTACCGGGCTGTGATTGAGAGTGTGCTAACACAATCTTTCACCGTCTGGTACAGTAGTGCTACAGTAGAGGACAAGAATCGCCTCAACCGCGTAGTAAAAACTGCCAGGCGCATTGTAGGTAGGGACCTGCCGTCTATTGAATGTTTGTATACGAGACGAGTGCTCAAGAAAGTAAAGTCAATCACGAGTGACCCTGGTCACCCAGCGAATAGCCTACTTATGCATATGTCAACAAGCCGACTGCGGTCACTAAAAGCAACCTCCACGCGCACTAAGAATAGTTTTTATCCATCAGCAGTACGTATTTTTAATGAACAAAATGTATTTTAATAATTCCACTGTATCACATTTTATCGACAGATCATACCAACTTTCATTTTATACTTGTATAAATATGACAATAAATTATTATTATTATTATTATTATTATTATTATTATTATTATTATTATTATTATTATTATTTAGAGAATGCTTGAAGTTGAACATTCATTGGGAGGTTCTTGATGAATGCCATGCCTCATTTAACTAATTATATTATAATATTATTATAATTATAATAATATTATAATTATTGAAAGCCAAAGTCTCGTGTCTTTTAGACATCAAAAGAAACAATGTGATATAACCTTAGAAAGTATATTTAGATTTTGAGTACAGAATATTATAATTGGACATTTTCCTCTTTGATTTTAATACCGTTATCAATTAAAAATAATCCTTTCAAATTTGTATTTTAATTGTCTGCAGAACATTTTTATGGATTTTTAACTCTCAATAAATAATTGAATAAATATGTTATCATTATTATTATTTCTGATATTATTATAATTATTATTAATGCTGTTTTTTTTCTTCTTTTCATTTCATTTTCCATCATTGTCTGTGGCCATCATCTTCCTCTTGGTACGACATATCACTTGCACTCCTGACTGATTGTTGCCATGCTGGATCTTATAGCCACAAGAGGGCGCCAAAGGTAAATGACTTGTTTTTGTTTTTGTTACACTTAGGAAGAAAGTATAGTAAGTACGTAATGCAAAAGCACTCAACTCAAATGAAATACAAGTACTAGTGTCACCCGCATATACACGCACGTTGCAAAAAATATGTTATTGTGATTCATAGGCACAATACAAAGAGATGCGTTGCATAACGTGGATACATCACAAACAGATATTATTACAAATTGCATAACATGAATACATTACAGACATACTGGGGTAGCGCTAGCAATTTTTTTCACTTAGCCAAATCACCACATTTTTGTCAATTTGTTATCAAAATGGTTATAATTTGGCTAAAACATGTCAAATCAAGCCCTTTTTCTTTAGCCAATTTAAGTCAGTTTAAGAAATGGCTAAATTGGCGTGTGTTAGCGCTACCCCAGACATATATTATAAGTCATTGAATAACATGGAGACTTAAGAAACAGATGTTATAACACATTTCATAACATGGGTACATTACAGACATATTTTATATCAAATTGTGTAACATGGATACATTAGAAACAAATTTTATAACAAATTGCACAACATGAATACATTAGAAATAGATATTATAACACATTCCATAGCAGCATTGCTGTAAAAGGTCACCTAAGCTTTTCACATTGTACCCTCTGAAGTGGGGTAAGGGGTCTGGAAAAAGTCTTTGCTTTGTAGACTTGTGAAAAAAATGATAAATTGGATGACCCCTTACAAACATACATCATTACAAAGGTATAGGTTTGCAGCTCTTAGCTGTAGCATAAGGCAGCTAAAACAGTCTAGCCAGTAGCTAATAATTGACTAATTCATTTAGTTCATGATATAACATGAAGTCATATAATACTTATCAGTTGCGAATTCCAATAACTATGGTCACCAAAGAAAAGCCTGTTACTTATCTGAATTTTATTGATCAACCAAATTAACTTTTACATTTTAGGAATATTATCTATGTACAGATTAAGTACTATTAGATAATAAAACCAAAGTCATTAAATGGGTGCATGTTTCGATTTAATACCATTATAGCACTTAACATGCATTTTATAATTATAATTTGTAATTACCAATAATATTTCATGGTTAATGGTAAAATATATATTAACAAGTGTAATTGAATTCATGTTACTATTTTCAGACCTTTGCATTTGACCATTCCTTCTGGTCCATTGATGAAAATGTCAAGGAAAAATTTGCTTGTAAGTAGAGAGAGAGAGAGAGAGAGAGAGAGAGAGAGAGAGAGAGAGAGAGAGAGATCTTTAAAGCTCTTTGCACAGAATGTTATTAAGGCAACAACAATAAAACAATTGTGCTGTTGTAAGGAAAATACTTAATGCATAGAGATTCCGCTATTTTAAAAGCATTTCTGGGACATGGAAAAGCAAAAAAGCAATTAAAAGAAACCAAGAAATTGATGCCAGTTGCATTCACATTAATACAGTTTTAAATGAGAAGCAAATTGGTTCCCAATATCTAATTTAGTTCAAGTTTAAATAAGATTATTTGACAAATGAAGAAAAGCTACACCTGTAACAAATTAAGAAATTAAAGCTACACCTGCTTAAACTAGCGTGCATGCTGTTGTTTTGTCGCTGAAGTCTTTCGCAGCAAATGCTGATGCTTCTGCATGTTGATGAAACAAATCGAAGCAAGCCCCAAATGAAGCGGCAGTTTCTTGGAGCATACATCATTTGTCGCACTTTGAAGATTTCACAGAAAATAATCAATTAGCAATTTCATGGGAGAAATTGAGACATGGAAATGTATTAAGTTGTCATCAGTTCCTTTTCCTCAGAGACTCAAGTGGGAGTGGGATGCAGTCGATGTTATCGCTTTTTATAATGAAGTATTAAGATAAAAAACTTCCAATTAGAGTGTGCATTTTTCTTTTAGTTGGCTTTGTCTTTCTGGTCAAGATTTAATTTATGATATTTTGTGTATTATAAGATTATGTAATTTGTAACAGAGAGGAAAAACATCAGGCAACAAGTAAGATAAAGAATAAAAATCAATTCTACTTATCAAAAATTAAAAAAGTATTTAATGATAATATATATTTAACTATATATGTGATAATATCTTCATAAACTTAGAAAACATTTATTAAAAGCTGAAATAGTTGTAGATTTAAAAAAAAGTAAATACATATTTAGAGTGTTTTAAAGAAGTGATTACTGGTAAATCAAAGTGACAAACAGAAGACACAATTAACTGGTAATCTAATTGCTCAGTGCCATAATTTTTATGTAATAAGTGTCACATATTAAAGTAACGTCAACCGTCATTAAGTGGACATTAATTATCTTCCGCCTCTTAACAAATGCTTTGAGAATACCCTATCTGATTTAATGTGACGTTCATTTATGCCAATTTGATAGAAGAAAAGATAATAATTGATAATCAAATGATTTTCAGTGTGACTAAGGAAATTGCAATGCTTTTTATGGAATCTAGAAAGGAAGTGGGATATAATGTTCCGCTGGATTTGTCCAATAATTCAGGGCTTCTGCAGCTGTTAATAGGTAACAAACGCTGCAGGTGAAATTTACACTGGTTTGAGAAATGCGTCTAAATTGGTGAACAATTCGATCAGGTGTGTGTTAGGTGATAGTTGCCAATCTTCTTACGTCCCATATGGCCTGGTAATTGTCGTAGGAAAGGTTAACTGACTGACGCGGAGTTCCATACTGTATTAAGGTGACATCTTTTGTCATTATCAACAACAAAGAATATTTTCTGTTCTGATTTGCATGTAATTGTTTATAAGAAATATATTTTTGTCTTTAAATGGCGTATACACACAAACACATACGTTCACACACACAAACACATACGTTCACACACACACACACACACACACACAGATTTTTTCTTGAAAGAACAATCAGTAATATTTTTAATAACACACGTTTACGTACATATATCAAAATATTTTTGTTTATTTTTTCTGTATAGGTCAGTCCACAGTCTATGCCAGATGTGGGAAGGAAGTATTGGACAAAGCATTCCAGGGCTACAATGCCTGTATATTTGCCTATGGACAGACAGGTAATATTTTAAATAATAGGAGAAATTCTGTCTCCTGGGTTCACACAGATTAAAATATATATATATAATAAGTTGTTATCAAGGCTTTACCCAGTGAACTGTCCAGCTGTCGTTTGGATGGCCATTAGCTTCAAAACACGACCTGTATTTCCAAGGATGGCTGGACGGCTTACAAAATTTTGGATTGGTTGGTTGGGCTTGCTTGGGTTAGATTTCCTGTGAATCAGGGGTAGACGAAGGCAGTCTTCTGGGTCTTCCACAAAACAGTCAGAATTTTTCAAGTTTCACTGATGGGCATTGAATTTTTTCTGTTGGAAGATTGTCAAAAGTGGAGGATGGATCAACAAAGATAATTTGGAAGGCTCATAAATGTGTTTTGATCCGCCCAAGTGAATTGATGACCAAATTACAGGTTCACATTTTGGACTTCCTGTACCTCAAATCCTGGGGAAACCCCCTTGTTATTATACATATGAAGTAAAGCTTAGTCAACTATTGAACACTATTTCTAATTTACTCAAGGTACATAAAAATTGATACCTACACTGGAATTGTCTGCTTGGTTGTAAAAATGTACTTTTGACATTAAGTTCTGATACCTTGTGAAAACGGAGAACTAGTTTTTCACTCGTGCATCATGGGAACTGATACTCTGTTACTCCCGGTGACGCCTCAAATACCAAGCTGTCTGGGGCCTCCTTGGGAAACTTGGCATATCACGGAAAAACTGTCAATTCATCAAAAGAGGTGTGGAGTCTTTTAGCCTAATGGAATTTACCAGAAAGGTGGAATCAGACCTATAACTCAAGAATGAAAGTTGGCTTTTTAATTAAAAGGATGAAGTTTTAAATCTTCCATAATTGGTGCTCTAATAAAAAAATGTACCATTCTTCTATTCTGTTGCCGAAAAATAAACTTACAATGTTCATCAGGACCATTCCCCTGTGATCTATAGTTTTGTAGACTAAGGCAGTCTTACCTTAGAAGAAAAATGTGATATGCAACGTGATATGTAAAATATTCACAATTTTCATCAATATTATTTCTCTATGATATGCAATTCCAGGCTCCAACAAGTACTACCTTATTATATATTGATAGGTACCTTAGAAAAGGAGTATGTGATATTCCATTTGTGACGAATAAAATATTTACGATTTTCATCAATATTTTTTTGTTTGCGATGTATTATTTCAGGATCGGGCAAGTCCTACACCATGATGGGTACGGCTGAACAGAAAGGGATCATCCCTCGCCTCTGTGACGCCTTGTTTGAGCAGATCACTAACAACCAGGATGAGAGCCTCTCCTACAAGTGTGTCGTGTCCTACATGGAGATCTATAACGAGAAGGTCCATGACTTGTTGGATCCTAAAGGGTAAGAAGAATGCTATGAGGTCACTGGACCTTAAATTTCACACAGTAAGCACACAGGTTACAAGAGCCAAGATTTTGAAATTACGGAGTTGGATGAGATAAATGGATCCCTACAAATACTGAATAATCTCATGAATATCCAGATAGGAAAATTGCTGATAATCTTTTATCTTAGTTGATTATAATAGTGATGAGAAAAAAGTCTCATTGGTTCTGTAAATAGTTATACTGAAGAATATCCACGGTACAAATCTTACACAGCTTTCAGTTGTGAACAGTTCTAGATGAGATTTTAATGGAACCAATTAAAATCAATCAAGTAAATTGGCTACGTCAAGCAGGAACAGTCTGTTTTGGTGAATCTCTTACTTTTACTTAGTAACAAGGCCATTAAGCTGTTGATCTCTAAAACTGGTGCAATACAGAAAACTGTACCTCGAGATATGAAATTTGCTTTTTTCTGTTGGTGACGTGTGTTTTGCTTCTTTGATGTGGTATCTATTTGCGAAATCAAACCAGGGCTTTCGGAGGGATTTTAGAGGACATGTTCAGGAAGTGAGATGATTGACCGTTTTCGGATAATTTGCCTATTTGTCTTCCTGAAGATTATTTTTGAAAGATATGAATGTGGCCACCTATACCCCTAAAGGATTTTTTTTCACAAATGTCAGTCTTGCCCGTGTGTGCTTGCATTCCCATTATTTCCCAGTATGGAAACTGATAGCAGTGTGCTGAATGTGTTGTTGAAGAGATTAGGATGATATTGTTTCAAATTTCAGACATCAATTCCCAAGAGAACCTGTAATGGGTTTGGCATTTTTGGTTTTAAAACCAAGCGTTATTCCATTGAAGTTGTTCTAGCTTTTTGCCTCCAATTCCCAAAGTGCTTATGCTCACACCCTAAACACTTTGGCTTTTTATGTATGATCATGGTCCTTGTCATATTAAGAAAAGAAAAGAATAAAAATGAATGAACATGGGCCTTGTCATATTTAAGAAAAGAAAAAAATTCAGTGACATTTTGTTGAAATTGTTCTTGACTAGCTTTTTTGCCTCCATTTCTCAAGGTACCTTTGCTCACATCCAAACCAATCCTTTTCACATCCTTCCATTCACTTTCAGTGTCTAAACCAATTGGTTTGGTGAGCATCTGATAAATGGTGAAAACTTAAAAAATCATTCGCTTAAAAATAGTTTAATAATTGAAAGTACCCGAATGTGACATGGCCATATTAGGTGAAGAACTTTTCAAAATTACCCAGAGGCCCATTTTCAAGTTTAGCAGAATTTTTTAAGTGAAAAAAATATGTAAACAGAGGATTATCTTCGAAAAAAAAAAAAAATTAAAAACCGACTAGTTTTCATACTTTGAGTAGACCATGCACATACAGGTTGTTCATGGCTATTTCTGGTGGTGTGGAGGAATTCCTTGATTTTTAAATCAGTTCTGAAGGCATCCTTCCCGCCTCCCTAGTCCCAGCCAATAGGTGTTGGTGCCTCATTAAATGTTCATTTTTTTTTTTTTTACAAAAAACCAGGCTTGGTGAATTATTACTTGTTATAGGGGATGCGAGAGTACTTGACTGTACTCTTATAGGTAAAAATGTTCAGGCTTATGCCATGCCTTATTTCAGGATTTTAGGTATGATTTTTTTTTTTTATATGGTCTAAATGCGATTGGAAATTGCAAGGTGCATTTTCAGGATTTTCAGTATAACAACTATCACCCATGAAATTTTGACTCAAAGTGGACACTGATTTGGCCTAAAGGTCACCCATGCACTCCAATGATGTCAGTATGGCCACTCACGTAGTCTGTCAATGTCACACAGTGTTCAGTAATCTTGTTAAAATGATGAATAAAAAATTGAGACATCATTTTGCTTTGAACTAATTGAAGCCTTGCTGTCATTTGTAACAACCTTAGGTGTCATTTTCTGGAACGCTAGTTTGTTTTGATTTACATATGTTATGAACATTGACGTAGGTATGGTTCATATATTGTAGACAGCCAAACAAATTGTGCATGCACTTCCAAGCCACCCATTAATCTTTAATAATTCATATTTTTTGTATTGGTTGAACAGAATAGAATAGAATTATAGGTTAGCCTGTTTTTCAGTTTTATTGCTACCATTCAATAGGAATTTTCTCATTTTAAGAATTCACAGATGTACCAATTAAAAAGATCTAGTCATTACTATACCCTTTTATTTGGATGTATATAAAAAAAAAAAACTATTTAGGTTCCCCCTATTCTAAGGTAATTAAACCAAACAATTTCTTAAGTATGCCATGTATTTCTGAGTTGAACACTTATTTTGAAAAATGGTAATAATTTATTTTTAGTATGGCACTGTTAATGATATGGAGAATGGTCAGATGATCACATTATAATTAGTTTACTATAATGACTATGCTTGCAAGCACGTATCAGCACATTTCCCTGTAGTAAAGAGAGGAAGTATACCAGAGGATTCCACATGGCAGCAATCAAGTTGTGATATCATTTGTCTCTCTCTCTCTTTCTTTGCCACCCTTGGGCACACTGATACCTCTTGGTATATGATGTAGGGTTTTTATCGCTGGCTTATAAAGTTCAATCAGTTTGTAGCATGCATTGGCAATCATGTTCATCAGATTGGGAAATGAAATGAAATAAATAAAATCAGTTGGAAAATTTCCTCTCTTAAAGATGGCCCAATACTCTGGAGGAGTATCCTGATGTGGGGTTCTCAGCAATGTCCTCGTTTTGAAATGCCTTTTTTTAAATGGGGGAAAACAGTGTAATCATGTTCATTGTTGAATAAAATAGTGTAGAAAATCATATGAAAAACACCAAGGCGTGAAGATACGTGATGTATGTCTTTCTGGTCCAATTCCCTGTGTTTANCTGCCTTGTTTCTGTTGGTGACGTGTGTTTTGCTTCTTTGATGTGGTATCTATTTGCGAAATCAAACCAGGGCTTTCGGAGGGATTTTAGAGGACATGTTCAGGAAGTGAGATGATTGACCGTTTTCGGATAATTTGCCTATTTGTCTTCCTGAAGATTATTTTTGAAAGATTTGAATGTGGCCACCTATACCCCTAAAGGATTTTTTTTCACAAATGTCAGTCTTGCCCGTGTGTGCTTGCATTCCCATTATTTCCCAGTATGGAAACTGATAGCAGTGTGCTGAATGTGTTGTTGAAGAGATTAGGATGATATTGTTTCAAATTTCAGACATCAATTCCCAAGAGAACCTGTAATGGGTTTGGCATTTTTGGTTTGAAAACCAAGCGTTATTCCGTTGGAAGTTGTTCTAGCTTTTTGCCTCCAATTCCCAAAGTGCTTATGCTCACACCCTAAACACTTTGGCTTTTTATATATGATCATGGGCCTTGTCATATTAAGAAAAGAAAAGAATAAAAATGAATGAACATGGGCCTTATCATATTAAAGAAAAGAAAAAAATTCAGTGACATTTTGTTGAAATTGTTCTTGACTAGCTTTTTGCCTCCATTTCTCAAGGTACCTTTGCTCACATCCAAACCAATCCTTTTCACAGACATCCTTCCATTCACTTTCAATGTCTAAACCCATTGGTTTGGTGAGCATCTGATAAATGGTGAAAACTTAAAAAATTATTTGCTTAAAAATTGTTTAATAATTGAAAGTACCCGAATGTGACATGGCCATATTAGGTGAAGAACTTTTCAAAATTATCCAGAGGCCCATTTTCAAGTTTAGCAGAATTTTCTAAGTGCAAAAAATTTGTAAACAGAGGATTGTCTTCCGAAAAAAATAATTCAAAACCAACTAGTTTTCATACTTTGAGTGCACATACAGAATGTTCATGGCTATTTTTGGTGGTGTGGAGGAATTCGTTGATTTTTAAATCAGTTCTGAAGGCATCCCTCCCGCCTCCATAGCCCTAGCCAATAGGTGTTGGTGCCTCATTAAATGTTCATTTTTTTTTTTTTTTTTTTTTACAAAAAAACAGGCTTGGTGAATTATTACTTGTTATAGGGGATGTGCAGAGTACTTGACTGTACTCTTATAGGTAAAAGTGTTCAGGCTTATGCCATATAGCCTTATTTCAGGATTTTAGGTATGGTTTTTTTTTTTAATATGGTCTAAATGCGATTGGAATTTGCAAGGTACATTTTCAGGATTTTCAGTTTAACAACTATCACCCATGAAATTTTGACTCAAAGTGGACACTGATTTGGCCTAAAGGTCACCCATGCACTCCAATGATGTCAGTATGGCCACTCACGTAGTCTGTCAATGTCACACAGTGTTCAGTAATCTTGTTAAAATGATGAATAAAAAACTGAGACATCATTTTGCTTTGAACTAATTGAAGCCTTGCTGTCATTTGTAATGACCTTAGGTGTCATTTTCTGGAACACAAGTTTGTTTTGATTTACATATGTTATGAACATTGATGTAGGTACGGTTCATAATGTAGACAGCCAAACAAATTGTGCATATACTTCCAAGACACCCATTAATCTTTAATAATTCAAATATTTTACATTGGTAGAACAGAATAAAATAGAATTATAGGTCACTAATAGCCTGCTTTTCAATTTTATTGCTACCATTTAGTGGGAATGTTCTGATTTTAAGAACTCACAGATTTACCCATTAAAAAGATCTAGTCATTACTATACCCTTTTATTTGGATATATATAAAAAAAACTTTTGATAATCACTAGGTTCCCCCTATTCTAAGGTAATTAAACCAAACAATTTCATAAGTATGCCATGTATTTCTGAGTTGAACACTTATTTTGAAAAAATGGTAATAATTAATTTTTAGTATGGCATTGTTTATGATATAGAGAATGGTCAAATGATCACATTATAATTAGTTTACTATAATAACTATGCTTGCAAGCACTTATCAGCACATTTCCCTGTAGTAAAGAGAGGAAGTGTACCAGAGGATTCCACATGGCAGCAATCATATTGTGATATCATTTGTCTCTCTCTCTCTCTCTCTCTCTCTCTCTTTGCCACCCTTGGGCACACTGATACCTCTTGGTATATTGTGTAGGGTTTTTATTGCTGGCTTATAAAGTTCAATCAGTTTGTAGCATGCATTGGCAATCATGTTCATCAGATTGGAAAATGAAATGAAATAAATAAAATCAGTTGGAAAATTTCCTCTCTTAAAGATGGCCCAATACTCTGGAGGAGTATCCTGATGTGGGGTTCTCAGCAATGTCCTCGTTTTGAAATGCCTTTTTTTAAATGGGGGAAAACAGTGTAATCATGTTCATTGTTGAATAAAATAGTGTAGAAAATCATATGAAAAACACCAAGGCGTGAAGATACGTGATGTATGTCTTTCTGGTCCAATTCCCTGTGTTAATATGACTTTATGGCCCAGTCCCCTGTGTTGTTTGACTTTCTGGCCTAGGTTTCTGTGGTCAGAAGATGTTGCCAAATCCCTGTGGTGAAATGATAGACTTCCTTAAAGACCTGGTGTTGTTAGATCAACTGTAATTTACATCTGTGAATAGATGATACCCTTTGTCTCCCAGGACATACTGGATAACTTTCCCTTCCTATCACTTTGCTGCCAGTCCAGTTCAGGTATCAAGAAGGGTTACTGAGATTGTGTTTTTGGTTGTGACAGCTCAACTAACATATTCTTGATCATGAGTTTAAACTCTTTACTTTCTACATAATATTGGAGTTATATACTCTGCAAAAATATTTTTTCGTGAAAAGTTGATCATTTATTAATATACTACACAGATGAATTTTCATCATGGCATTTCATGTCTGTCACACCCTCATTAGTCTTTTGACTTTTCCTAGAATAATGGAACATTATCATGTGAAACTTCAGTTTTAGTGGTGATTATTATAGCAAGACAAAAAATGCCATGTCTCTTATTGGTGATATATTAATGAATTTTGGTCTTTATTATAATATTTTATAATAATGAATTAGAGAAAATGTTTGCATTAAATTTATAAACATCAGCTTCCCTTAAATTGAAGACAACTAAATACTTATCAGAAAGTGTGGAAGTTCTAGTTCTAAACTATTATTATTATTATTATTATTATTATTATTATTATTATTATTATTATCGTAATTAATAATATTATGATTATTAATATAATTGTTATCGCAATATTATAAGTTGTAGAAATTGAAGGGAAATTCAATCTTGTTAATAGTGTGTGTATTTTGTAGCCAATGAAAGTTGTAATTTATTCTAATTATTGTTATATTTTCAGTGGTCGCCAGAACTTGCGCGTCAGAGAGCACAACATCCTGGGACCTTATGTGGATGGGCTGTCCTCGTTAGCTGTGTCAAACTTTCAGGTCAGGGAACTTCTCTCTTCACACTGGTGAAGTAAATAATGAGAAAAATGTTAAGATTTTTCTTCCTTTTAGAGTAATGTTTAGAGTCAATTTGTTTTGAAATATTGCAGTTATTTTTAGGTGAATGTATTTAAGTATTATTTTTGTTTTAATTTATTTTTTTACTATAAAAGGGACTTCTCGGAGATTTTTAGGTGAAAATAAGAGTTTTAACGGAGTTGACGGCTGTATTCCAAAAAAGTTGCCTGCGGACTAACAGAACTTCAGATCAAATTTGGTCGACTCACTTAAAAGCTTGCGGCATACTCCTCTAACAAAAACTCAATAGATTCCCAATAGGGATTATGCGACAAGCATTCCCGTTGGATGGCCATATTTGATCTGCCAATATGTTAGACAGCTGTTGTGAATGCTACCTAAAACTGAAGAACAATGCCACCCCAGTTTATTTTGTTCATAAGGCCATCTTTATAAATATTCCTTAAAATCCAAAATCAAGGCTGAAATGGTAAATAGATTCTGGAAAAATAATTATTTTCTTTACAGGACATAGACAATTTAATGTCAGAGGGCAACAAATCGCGTACTGTCGCTGCCACAAACATGAACAGTGAAAGTAGTCGTTCACATGCTGTCTTCAGCATCATTCTCACCACCACCATGACAGATCTGCAGAGTGGGGTAAGTGAATTTTTTTTTTAATTCGCTCTTGTCTCAGAAATTCCTTCAGATGAACACTTGCAGAATTGATTTTATGACACAACAGAAAAATGACAACAACAGCAAATATCCCACATAGATTTTTTTTTCATATTAATAAATGTGGAAAAGGTGCATGGAGGAATGAGCTTAGATTTTAGTTATTGTGCTTGGATGTGTGTGTTTGTGTCTGTTTGTTTATTTACAATTAAGTATTATTTCTGTGTATGACGTATATAATTTATACATAATATATACCTTTACAGTCAAGTGTAAAAATGTTCCATCTTTTCTCAACTTTAGATGATTCAAAATTACCAACACTTCTTTTAAACCTCATAACCATTTTTCAGTCTAGACTGCAGTTTATTTGTGGTTTTGCCAAACAAATAAACACTGTTCTGTCATTACCTTGCTTGACAGCACCGTGATCATAGTGGGGTAACGTGGCAGTCATTGATCACTCGTGGTCGCACAGTTACGATATAGTGATCTCTGGCCTCCACTTGGGTCACGCAGTGCACTGAGCGTGAATGCCAGCGACAACACTGACAGCCAATGAAAACACAGAGATGGAGACATATTATGCTTGCCAACAGAGCTCCTGCTGCAATCGATGCTATTTCCAACGTGGAAAACATTGTATCTGTGATTATCGGTTGATGACCTTGAAGTGACCTTGAGTTGACCTTTCACTGACCCTGAAGTGACCTTGTTGTGACCTTGAGATAGATTTTAACTGCTCAGAAGGCAGACTAGATCTAATCCCTTTTAATACTACAATTTAGTGACATTTGTCTTGAGTACATTATTATTTCCAAGGTGTGAGGTCCTTACTTATTTTGTTTTAATCATTTCTCATTCTCAGTTGGAGTAAAATACCTTATTTGACATGTGTACTTAGTTGAAAATTGTTATCTATCTATCAGTCAGTACTGCTGTTGATCATTTATAACTGATGTCTGGTAGGCAACAAATCCTTGGCATTGTTCTAGTAATATCCAAGTGCTTGGTCTGCGCCACTGTCAATTGCCAGCTGACCAATAGTGTTACTATTGAAGCTGACCAGCGTGACTGTGGAAGCTGACCTATATGACTTCTGAAGACCAATGTGACGTTTGAATCTGGCTAGTGTTACTGTTATGCCTGACCAGTGTTACTTGCCCGGTATTCAAGTACTTGTGTTCAGTATTAGAAGTCCTCTTTTTGAATAACTGGAATAAGCAGATAAATCCATCTCCAGCTGGTTCGAGCTCCTGGTCACCTGTAGTTTTAATGCATATTTTTAAGTGTTTTCACTTCTTCTAAAACGATGGTGATGACAATTTGGCTGTTACATAATTTTATATAGATTCCACTGCTTTTTATCCCACAGTCATACCACACTGTATTTGTCGTGACACCAGTGGCAATTATGTCATCCTTCTGAAATTTCTCCTGCAAAACGTTTGGTTTTGGAATGACATTTGTTAGGTATCCCTGATGAACAAATAATGCAGATTTCAATGGAAAGGTGAAAAAAATATTCATGTACGGTATGGTATAATTATCACTTGAATGTTTTCTTTACACTTCCCCGAACTGTTGACCAGAATTTATTCTTCAAAACAGGAAGTGATGTCATAAGCTAGATGATGTTATGGATTATAGAAAACCTTGTTTAAACTTAAACGCCTTGTTTTCTCGTTTTGAAATGATTTTTTTCAAGAAAAAAGCTCCCTCTCATGATCTGTGTTCTTATCCAATAGTTGTTGATATTGGAAAAAGAAATTTCTAAAAAATATATATATATATATATTTTGCAGATATTTTCCACATTAAAAGGATACAGTGGCAATTACCTTAGTTTCTGATTTGATCATCTCAAAAATTAAAAATTTGATTTCTATTCGGGTACACTTGTTCCAACTTACATCGTCTCCTTCATCTCATATATGAAAATCCGATTTCCTGTCAGGCACTTATCCTTGCTTGCAGTGTCTTCTTGTTTGTCTCAAACACGAAAATCTGATTTCTCTACAGGTGCATGTGTACTTGTTCCAACTTGCACCATCTCATTTGTTGCATACATGAAAATCCGATTTCCCTACAGGTACTTGGACTTAATTGCACTCTGTCCAAGTTAGTCTCATGAAGGAAAATCTGATCTCTACATTCCTACTTGGCATTATCTGCTGCTGGCTCTCACATAATGTAAATCTGAGTTTTAAACCTGTTAAAAAAACCCTTGGAATAACCTAGCTAGTAGTGTTACTAGTGTTATTACTTTCCACTTGTTCAGACCCTGATTGGATCTGTTATTTAGACTTAAAAAAAAAATAAAATTCAAAGTCCTGTAATTGAAAGTTGCCCCATGAGTCATAGACAGGTACGTGTATATGCAGCACCCAAGGCAGCTCCGTGTAGTACCTTAATTTCATATGATGGCGTTGATAAGCTTTTATTAACAATCCAAAACCAAATCCCAAAAACATTAATAAATCGGGTTCTCGTGAGAGGATTGGCCTCCTGCAACGTGATATAGCTTATCAAGAATTTCTAGTGAACCAGAAAAGAGACAGTCTCACAATAGAAGTGAAAACTAAACGTTGGTCTATATTATAAGACATAGTTTTTTTTTAGTCGTCTATTGCTTAAAATAAAACAGGAGTGGCCCCTAATTTAGGGTAATGAACAAGGTTTTATTTTCAAAGGGATATTTAAGGTACAGAATAAACTTATTATGGTTGACAACTGCAGCACCTTTATCCTGTCAGCCCCTGCTTTTTAAAGCCAGTAGATTGACGGAAAGGTGATGTGAGGTTCGTGGTTGTAGTTTACTCGAATAAAGTATGTTTAAATTGGTATGCCAGGTCTTTAATAAGGTCTTAATACAAATTGATTGGCTACAAATTATATTCAGAATCAGTAAGACTATCCAGGCCAATTATATTTATCTGTTGCAGCTTAGCATGACACCTTCTTCAGTGGATCTTGTCATATATGATTGTTCAGAAGGTCCTTTCAAACCATCGCTTGTTTTTATGGACAGACACTGTGTCTGATTTGATTTCATAATTTTGTTACTGGATCACTGGATTTGGATTAAAATCAGCGGGCTTCATTTGTCAGGGAAAAGGTGTGTACTTGAAGTGTGCACCCAAAATGTGCCGTAATTATAAGTGTCAGACAACTTGCTAAAATTTCTAGCCTGCTAACAGGTGCTGTGACTGTGATTTCTATGACATTCACTCACATTTGAAGATAAATTGAATGCAAATCTGGAGTTCAATTTAGGCAGGTGGTTTTAAGTTGATTTAAGAAGTGGTCATTAAAACAATGGTAAGATTGAATTTGATATGGAATGTGATATGAAAATGCTGAGCAAATATTATGCTGGATTACATTGAATCTGTGTACATGTATTTAGTAGAGATAAGGAGGAAGATGTACAAAAAACAAATGTCAGTCAATTAGACAACAAAGTGCATGTACATACATGCACACACACACACACACACACACACACACATTTCCATTTACAATTTACACTGTTTACAGAAGAGACGTATACATGCATACAAAGACAGACCAACAGCTTCAGCCAGCTAGAGTGATGAATAAAATCAAGGAGGCAGACAAAGACACCAACACTTAAAAACATGAGAGAGAGAGAGAGAGAGAGAGAGAGAGAGAGAGAGATGGACAACCAGGCAGACACACAGACGGAAAAAACATACATGTACATCCAGAGGGGGGAGAATCATGACTTCATGCACATATTTTGGCAAGGAAACAATACATAGAACAACTACTGAAATAATTCCTAAAACGTAAACCCCAATTTTTCTATAAACACACTAACTCTTGAGGCAGCCAAGTCTGTTACGTTTCCTTATCAGTGTGGAAAATATTAGCCCTCATTTGTGTCAACTTGATAAGCCCAGGGCATTTTTATTGATTGTTATATCTTTCTAATGAAAGAGTGGTTGGTAGTATTGCTCTTATTCATGGGACTGAGGTTAACATTTCATTTTAACCAGCTTTCGAAGAAAATCGGAAGGGAATTACTTTTTGTCTGTGTGTGCATTTGCATGTGTGTGTGTGTGTGTGTGTGTGTGTGTGTGTGTGTGTGTATGTGTGTGTGTAGATATGCAAGATGTTTTGAATATAATCATTGCAGTATAAGGATTGTTTTGTAACTTCAATATCTGCCAACAGATGTCACTGTAGCTTCTGCTTGTTAAATAATGTTAACAATAAATCGTTTTAATATTTATATAAAATGATAAATTTGGACAGCTCTTGTTACTATTTTCTCTGTCCACCAATAGGTGGCACCATGTTACTTCTTTCAGAAAGTTGAAAGTTGTGAAGAGCATCAAGTTTCTTGACTGGCCATTTTTTTACCGATAAATAAAAAAATGCTCATTCAGTAATTTTTAAGTTCTTTTTATCTGAGATTAATTTTACTCTAGGACTTTTGTCGTATTTGTAGATTGCAGAATAAACTAAATTAACACATCTTCTTTACTCATAAAGTAGTTTAAATACATTTTAAAATTAACAAGACATTTGCCTGCTATCAAGTGCAGTTGAAATCTCTCATTTGTTGAAACAAAATTGAAATTTTAGACTTGGGGTCTTTAGGGAAGTTTATATAATGGGTATTATAATGGATAGGTGTTATAATGTCTTAAAAGCGACTTGACTTCGTGCCTTGAAATCTTAACCAGACAGGTAAGATAGATGGAAACAAGATTTTTTATAAAGTTCTTTTGAGGGAGGGATCAAGTTTTACGACTAAGCTGCCTAAGTCTATAAGGATAATAGATGTGGAGATATCCATTTCTGGCGGGATTGAGAGGATGCTTTTCATGCAATTCAGCTTAAAGGGGCGTGAAAATACTGTGACATTGAAACATTATGTGTCCTCAATATTACAATACACAAGAAAGGAGAGAACATTTAAAAGTTGCTCACTCTGTTGTGGTTATACCGTGGACAGTGACTCCCTAGTTGGGGAGGGGTGGAAAAACTGCACTTTTGGGAGGAAAAGGACCAGTCTACTTCAAAAATATTTTTAGGTTTTTATGCTGCTTCTCAAGATGGAACGACCTAGGAAGTAAAAAGGTCCACTTTTTCAGAAAAAAAAAGCCCAATTTGAAGTTATTGGCTGCAGTCCTACATATGGCCTTCATGAATACAGCCAGGTCTTCTTTTAAGAAAATTGACTTCAGAGAATATTAATTCAACCTCTAAACTTAGTCCAAAGGAGTTTTGAAGATAGCCTGCTTTACAATAAATTGCCGCATTCACCCTTGCATGTAATGCATCCATTTCTTAAGTTTAAGTTCTTTTAAGACAAAGTATTTGATATTTAACAGAACCTTGTGTTTTCAGTATGGCATGGTTGGAGCACAGCAATGAAGTGTTCTATTCCAGTGAACAGCCCTTGTTTTAAGAAGGCCATTTGGAATAAGTCCAGACTTACCTCAAACATTGGGACCCCTTGCTTATAAGATAAAAAATGCCTTATTATAAGATGTCACAGTCATGACAGCTAAAACATGACACAAGAATGATGTACTGACTGAACAGTAAACAAGACTTAGGAATACTACATTGAACTTAATTTTAAACCTCAGCACTATAGTTCAGCACTGCTTTTGTGAATATTTTGAAACGTTTAAAATTCCATTAATAGAAATAAATTTGATAAAAAAGCAATTCATTTTCTTCAAGGCACAAAACCTTTTTAGTTCACTATTATAAGGCATTGTATCTATAGTCTGTGATTTTAGCAATATTAGCTTTTGTCTTCAAATCCTGACTAAATAAAAATAAATTGATATCTGTATTACCATTCTTATTATTGTGTGGGTGTTTCTATAAATGTTTAGGACACCAAAAAGGTTAACAGCCCAATTTATATGCTACTGTGCAAAGAGGGACATAAATTACCTTAATAGCCTTGGATGTAAATTGGACATTTAAAATGGGTGGAATCGGAGCCAGTGAGTCAACTTTGTGGATTGCTGCAAGCTGGATAATATTGCGTAGATGTTGGGCTACATTCACATCTGATCTAATTCAGGGCCCCGTAACTCGAAAGCATCGCGCATTGCAATCGAGCGCAAGAGGCTCTTTTCCATCATAACTCCCATATGGGGCAAGTTACGGAATAGTGACGCTTGCACTCGGTCGCAATGCGCGATGCTTTCAAGTTACGGGGCCCAGGTTCACAATTGTACAGCTGGATGGATTTCAAGCTAGCTGTCTAAATTAAACAGTTGTGAGATTGTTTCGACTATCGAAGATTTCAAACTTTGGAAGCCAAAAATATCATTTTTTGTGATCAATGCTAAGGGTTCCATGGACCTCATGCCATATTTCCAACTTTTTTCTCTGAATGACAGTCTCATCCCAGATTCAATGTAGAATAAGGACTAATAAATTATTTGGATGACTTAGAATAGCTTGCATCCTCGTATGATTTTATTTGAGCAGAGTTTCAATAAGAATATGACAGTAATATAGGGGCTTCAGTGAGGATGTTTCAGTTCAGAAGATGATTTATTTTATGTTTATTTATAATAATGAGAGAAAATTATATAACGTTGAGCTTATGTTACCATATTCATAATAAAAATGTACATTTGAGACTGTATTATGGCAGTATCTAGATCTTAAAATTATATTTGAGGTGAAAAGCAGAATAATAGATGACCTCCGTAACAGCAGTCAGCAGATCTTTTTTACAAACTTTTTTCATGAAGTGTTGTCATGAACATTTTTCATGACAGGTATGCAATACAAGATGTAACTCGCTAGGTTACATTTCTAACAACATTAAATTTGTTCTGTGCTATACTACATGAAGCTAATTCTATCCACAGTTCATCAGATTAAGTCAGATTTGGCATCTTTGCATTTTCTCCAAATCATATTGATTAAACTTCACAGAAAAACTCAGTAAAGCTGAATCTGAGAACTACTTTTAATAAATTTAATATTATCAAGAGATTCTACTCTCAGTCACAATAATTTGCCTGACATGATTGAAACGAGCACTTGTAATAAAGAAGCTGTTAATGATAATAAAATAATTTCAATTAAAATTTAACGCAGTGTCATCATAATTCCGAGGTCATCACTCCTTTAGAGTCTACTCGGTGATTCCAGGTCAGTTTCTCCACCTCCCCCTCATCCTCGATATCTGTATTATATTTCTTAGCGCGAGCACGTGCGAGCTCCATAAAAACCATTTCCTCAAAAAACGTGCTGGTGTCGTTGTCTATTTGACGTGACTTTTCTCTCTCCTCACGTCGCCTGTCGCGAATCTTACACATTATGCAAATAGCTGGACCTAGAATGAGCCAGAAACCGATAATAGATCCTGTAGCAATGCCCGTGATTTGACTAGGTGACAGTCCCGCAGACGCCACTTCAACTGCAGTTTCATTGGTCCGGTTGTTAACAGTTGTTGGTGTGGTGTCCACGGTGACTGGAGGTTGCCATGGAGATGTGCCCTTGGTTACCATGGCTTTGGTGGAACTGGTAGTTCTGTAAGTTGTACTGGTGGTTGTCAACCTTGTTGCTGCTGTCGTTGTTGTTGTACTGGCAACAGCAGGTCTGGTTGTTATAATGGCACTGTTATTGTTAATTGTACTTGCTACTGTACTTGTAAGAATGGATGATGTTGTTGATGATTCAACAATTGGCACTGTAGAAGGTATTGTTGATGATACTGTAGTTGTTGGTGATGTTACTGTCGTACTGATTGTTGCTGTCGTTGCTGTTGTTTTTAAAGCAGTGTTTGTTTGAGATTCAGTTACTGAAAAGTCTGTCACTGCAGACGTGATCCCAGAAGTTGACATTGTCTTTGGCACTGTGGGAGATGTCACTGCTACGTCAGGGCCCAGAGAGTCATTTGATGCTCTGGTGACATTATCACTTACTTCAACTGTAGATGGCGTGCTGGCAGTAAATGACATTGTAGTCATATCAGTAACTAAACTGGATGTCTCCTCAGTAGTACTGTTTATTGAAACAGTTTCATTTGTAACATGTAATATTGTTGCTGTTGACGTCATCATTGGTTCGGCAGTTACATTGTCAGTAATAACACCACTAGTTGTATTTACAATCTCTGTTGATCCAACAGATGATGAGACGTTGTTTGCACCAGTCACACTGGGACTTGGCACCATTGTACTGCTACTGTCACTGCTAGTACTCATATACAGTGGAGACACTGTAGTAACATTGTCTGTAGCAGTAGCAGTAACATTAACAGTAATAGTTTCTGTATCGTCATAATTCTGGGTTGCATTTATCCCAATGGATGCTGTTTGTGTTGCAATACCAGGTGCCGGTGTCGTGGTGACCACCTCTGATGTGCCCTCTGTGGTGGAATTAACAGAAATATCACCAGAGGTCATCTCCTGGGTCGTCATGGTATCACCAGAGCCACCTATAGTAGAGATGGCAGTCTCTGTTGTCGTGGTTACATAGGTTTCAGTTGAAACAGGGCTGACCTCAGTTGTTACTGTTATAAGAGTATCAGTGACAGTGGTATTGTTATTGTTAGCTGAGGGAAAAGTGGTAATGTCCATAGCTGCTGTGGTATTAACGAGGTCTGAAGAAAACTCTGTTACTATAGGGACTGCTATTGTGGTAACACTACCCCCATCAGTGATTGGGCTTGTTGTTGTTGTTGATGGCGACTCAATGGCTGCTGCTATTGTAGTATCCACATCAAGTCCTTCTGTTGTGAAGGAGTTTTGGTCAGATGTTGAAGTGCTAGGAATCACTGTACTGGTAGTTGGAGCAGGGGTGGTTGTGACCTCTTCATGAGCACCTTGTGAGGTTGACATTGTAATTGTAGTAATATAACCCTTGTTATCAGGATTCATGGATTCTGTGGCTATGGGGTCAGCAACAGTTGTAGTTGTAGTAGAGGTGGTTGCACTAGTGTTCTCTTTTAAGCCATCTCCCATGGTTGTCATGGCAACTCCTGTTGAAGAGGTGGCTGATGCAGTTGTTGTGATCTTTTTGCCAGTATTTTCAACTGCCTGATTTTCTGTGGTACCTGACTCCCCTTGTGGCAAGTACTTTGTGGGGATATCAGAGTTTGTAGTGGTGGTGAGACTTGAAACAGTTGTAGAATATTGAGAGCTACCAGTACTCTGTGTATCTGTAACTGAATTTGGGTCAGAGGTCATAGCTGGGTCAGGGGTCATGACCTGGTCAGAGGTCACAGAAGGCTCAGTTACAGTTGAGGCAGGGGTCAAAATTGGCCCTGGTGTTGTGGTTGCCTCCAGTGAAGTAGGTCCTAGTGTAGTTCTGACAACTGTCTGTTTATCAATGGCAGAATTTTCAATGCTGTCACCCTGCATTTCTTTCATTGTTTTCATTGGCATTGTCGTCACTGTGCTTGTTGTTGTTGTTGTTAATGTTGTACTCTGTACTGTCACTGTTGATGATTTTACTGTTTGTGAGTCTGGCAATGTTGTGGCATTAGGGACCTTGTCCATTGTTAGGGGCAGGGCCCTAGGTGGAGGGGGTGGGGATAGGAGGGACCCCTGGGTGCTGGTCACATTCCCCGGGGGTTCATACCCAGGAGGAAAGGACATGTCCCTGGGGTCTCTACCCTGAGGCACATCTTCAACCTCTTCCTCCTCACTCATTGACTTTAAATCAGCTGTGGAAGAAGCGTCCATTGTTGTGGCACCCCCTGCTGTAGATGGCGTGTTTTCTTTTTCTTTTGTCCCCGGCCGACCTGAACTTGCACTGAGTACATAGCCTGGGATTGTTATGGTCGGGTCAATATTATTGGAAGTTTTCATGTCATTCTCTGCTGTCCCACTGAGACTATTTAACGTGGAGGATTGCAGAGATGTTGGTGGCTGTGTGGTTTGAGGATCGGGATCAATATCTTTCCCATCTCTTTTCTTAAGTCTGACGAGTCCCAGATCCAGGTTGGAAAAAATGCCCCTTTTAGTTCTGTGTGTTTTGTGAAGATTGGAAGAATGAGAGGAAAGTTTTGTTCCACGATCAGGTGCAGGTGTTTCCAATTGAGATCTTTGCTGTTCTTGCTGATTAGAGACTCTGCTGAACCTAGACATGTGCCTGCTATTGATACTGATGAGCTCGTTAAGCTTTGCCCAATTTTGCCAGCTGCGGGGTTGAGAGAGCATCTCCAGTATATCGCCCTTCCGTCTGTCGGGGTCAGAGGTCATGCGGTGCGGAACAAGAGGCCTGGCAATCAAAGATGGACGTAATTGAAAGTTTCTCTTTAGTGGAGACGGGTTGCTGCGAGTATTTGAGACAGAGTCTGTATTTTTCTCAGCATGGTTTTCTGATAGAGTAACTGGGCCTCTGAAGAGGCCATTGTGCTCTCTCTGTGAAACTAAAGCTGTGGGAGTGTCGGAATTCTCATTGGCAGATGTCACCCTGTGCTTCACACTGTTCATATCTTTCATATCAGACAGATCATCAATAATAACACCTTGAATATCTGCCCTTGTATCTTCATGGACACTGTTTTTATGCCCATTATAAGTCAGCATTTTATCATAAGAAACAGTCCCCCTCGGGCCATTTGAATATGCACCCTGTGGGTCATGGTAAACAGAAGTCTTGAATTGTTTTTGTGTTAGAGCACCTGCTGTAGCACCTGTTCTGATTAAACTTTGATCCTCAGGGTGAATTGGTGACCCTAATTGTCTGTCATAATCCACATGACTTGTAGTAGCACCTGTTAAGATTTTGCTGTGAAATTCAGGGTGTTGAAGCTGACCAGACACTAGCCCCTTGTTAGTATCCCTGTGAACTGCGGGGTGCTGGCCTTTAACAAGATTTAATTTGCTACCTGGTGTTTGACCCCTGTGGTCTGTGGAATCCATTGTCATATGCCATATGTCCCAGTTTAGAGCAGATGACAGAAACTGGGGGTGTGTCCGACCATGTCCTTGACCTCTCCCTCTGAATGACCTTTTGAGAAAGTAGTTGGTTTTAGAGTCTGTTTGATCTTCTGGCAGATTGGATAAGCGATTTGAGAAATATTTTGAGATCTGGATTAGGTGAAGACTCCTTGGATTTGACGTGATAGACATCCTTCTTGTGGGATTTCTTATGGGCATTTTGTGAAATTGAGTGTCTATTTTAAAATTGTTTAGCACCATCATGGGATTTGAGCTTTCTTTTTCTCCTTTCAATTCGCCCTTCCTTCCACTTAACCTTTGGTAAAATAAATCCATAATTTTTGACAGATTCTCTGCTCTCATCTGGACATTGTCCAAACTGGTCACTTTTTCCACTGTGCTGAACTTTGTTTGACCACTGCCCACAGTGGCCAAAGGGACCCCAGTCGTTAAGGTCAAGCAGCACAACATGGTCAATATCCACCAGGGCCATGTGTGTGGCCAGCTTGTTAAAGTCCACTGTTTTTTTACTGACCAGGGATGGCCAGAGAATGAAGGGTGTTTCAATATCCCACTTTTTAAAGACCGTCCATTTTTCACTGGCCAGTATGGAGTCAGAGGAAACCTGTTGTTTAACCTCCGATGTCTCTTTGAACTGCCTCCGACAGAGTGATGTGGACGGGAGAGGCAGTCTCCCATCCATCCTGTTTGGTATTTGTAGTGGACATTGGCCATCTTGATAACACATTTTGTGTTAAGCCCACATTTTTTTATCAACAGGTTGTACACTGTACACTCAACCTTCCTGTTAACTTCCCAGTTCTTAAAACATGAAATTATTCCGTTTATCTTGCCAGTTTTATCTCAAGCACCATAACTCTCCATCGTTAAGCTTGTCAGTGTTCAGCAAGTGAAATTATCATGACTTGTACTTCCTGAATACGAAATTGTAACAAGCTGCCCAATAAACTGAATAATCCTAAGTAAAGGTCTAGGCCTTTTGGTGGCATAGAACTAATAGTTCTGGTCTTAGTATACTGAATTTGTGTCTCTCAAATCTTTAGTAGAAGGCTGTGCCTTATGGAGATGTAAAACTTGTAGTACTGGCCTTAGTATAAACCAGTCCCAAGGATACAAAGTATACTGACAATATACCCTTTGCCAGCTTACAATGAATTGCTACCTCCTCGTCTGGACATACAATGAATATATAACCCGTCCGTCCTCGGGGATAAAAACACCGAGTATATTTCCTCCTGTTCTCCTTCACTGTGTCCAAAGATAAATATCTTGTTGTTGTGGTCAGTTAACTGAGGTCAAGCAGGGTTTACTTCTGATACCAACAGCTTAGATTATCATTAATCCACTCAGGATAATCCCTTATTAATCCACACAGAGATACACACTGAACAGGTAGTGATCCTCTTGAAGATGTTCAGACAGGTGAAGTTGTGTACAGTAGAAGTGTATGTGCGTAGGAAGATGATGCACTGGTCCAGTATGTGAAAATAAACAGTTAGGAACTCAAATTCTAAGATGAACAAGATGATAATCTGATGTCTTGGGTATGAATTCCAATAATGCACTGGGTCCAATATATGAAAATACACAGTTCAAAATTCAAATTCTGAGATAGACAAGATGCTGGTCAGAGGTCTTCTCCTTGGTTGTACAGCTTGAAATGTGGAACTGGTTTCAGTTACCTGTCTCTCACCACCTTCACCTGAAAACGGATAATATTATAATTATTACTTGCAATACAGAATTATATGTGTTGCTCTTAGATATAATACAGTATAATACAATAACAATGTGCTGTACATACATGGAGTCTAAACCTGGGAAAGAACTACTTGTAGATTTTTATCAACATAAAAAGTTCTGATTCATTCAGTTTGCTTTAAACTAAGATAAAGGTAGAATTACAGTTGAATGTCTTATTGGAGCTTACATTTAAAGAAGAGGTCAATGGAGAAGAACTGATGAGAAACAAAACTACTAATAACGACCTCCATTTTTAAATGTAAGTCTCAGCATGAGATTTAATGATAATTCCACTTCTATCTTACATGTAGATTGCCCAACCTTGTATCAAATTTTGCCCCCCCCCCCCCCCCCCTCCATGGCACATAAAGACACACTTATCTCACACAGTTCAGGAAAAAACTAAACACTCCTTACCACTTGTAATACCAAATGAATTACCAAGTTGAGTGGCCTATAGTATGATATATAGACATGATGAGAGAAGCACTGAGTACTAACATGATGATATAGTTGTAATAAACACATAAGTACTGAGTCAGAGTGTTAGGAAGGCGGGTTGTGGTTTGGCTGCCTGCCGATGATGATGTACAATGTAGGTTTTTATCAGTACTGCCATTCACTTAATTGGCTTGTGCTACGTCAGTGGTGGTTCAGATCTACTGTGTTGAGTGAGCACTTTTATGATGAATACTTCTTGGAATTTAGGCCCTATTGTCTATGCCCACTTCTTGGAATATTAAAGATTATTTTCTTTTTGTCAATAATACTGTTTTTTTTTTCATGTAATTTGACTCAGACTTTCAGTATAAGAATTGCCTCTTAAAGGAATGTACATTTGTAGTTTCCAATGCATTACCTTATATGTAAAAATCCAGTTTTAGTTTTCAGATTAAGAGTCCATAAACCAGACTTCCAAACAGAGAATGAGTCAATCTCTAATTGTCAGCCTGAGATGGACCCATAAATAAGTCACTAATGAATTTCACTTCCAATTGCACATTTACTATGGATTCACATTCAGCGTTAATACAGTTCAAGCACCAAGGCCAGTTCTATATTACCATCTAGCTAGTTAGCTAACAGTGAATTCACATTAGGTGTTAATACAGATCTATAATATCAAATGGTTTGTTGGAAATCAACATGTCAGTTCATGAACGACTTCCTCTTCTTATATGTATCATATGAGACTCATAAGAAGAGGAAGTCGTTCATGAACTGACATGTTCCAGTTTCTACTTCAAATTCAAACTCAGTCCATATATCGAGAACCTGTTTTTTTTTTTTTTTTCGGTCATTGTTATCAGCTATAATGTCCACTTGTGTGTTTGAACGAGTAGGCACGTTATATACACTTAATATTAATATTGAATTCAAATCCAATCTCAATTCAAATCAAATACCTGCGTCAATATTATGAACTGGCTCCTGATCCAATTATAATCCAGAAACAAGGTCCATTGGTTTATATCATACCTGTTAGTCAGTTAATAAGAATCTTAGTTTAATCCACAGATGATGTCCACTTCTATTTCGATATCATATACATATTATCTGTGTCATACAGACAACATATTAGGAAATTAAAAGGCGGTATAAATCACCTGTTGAGTGTACATTTCCCTTCCTGACCCATGTGTTTGGATTAATCACTCCTGAGTAAATAAGACGACAGGAAGTCTCGCACTGTTGGTCGGCTGAGTGAGTAAACGCTTGCTCCGTGTTCTAGTGAAAACTTCACCCGGCACACACACCGAGGCTTTGTCTGACCACAATCGGAATAGAGCCAGGTTAGGAAGTGGGTAACGATGCTGACTTGGTGCTTAAAGAAAAAAAAAAGAGAAAAAAAAAGAATAAATATGTTGATCATTATGATTTTGAATGCTTGAGAGCTTGTTCACAGGGGAGAAAAAAAAAACTCACTGAATTTTACCTTGTTCTCTTTGCAAATTTAGCCTGGTTAGAGCTGTGGCACAGATTCAGTTGAACAATTTCGAAGAAAAAAAGTTTAAAAGAAGACATGATCAAATGTGTAAGCCGTGTATTATACTTTCAACAATGAACAAGCGTGGTTAAGTAAGGAGTGGTTTTAGTACTGATCCAGACAGAAAATAATAACTCCTACGTTTCAGATCCTAAGAACAGGTACCTTTTGGATCAGACCCCACCAAATAACTACAAATGCTACGTCTTGGATCAGACTCAAACAAATAAGTACAAGTCTTACATTTTGGATCGGATCCTATTAAATAACTACAAGTGTTACATTGTGAATCAGACTCAAACAAATAGCTACAATTGCCATATCTTGGAGCAGACCCTAATAAATAAGTGCTAGATTTTATATTGCCTGTACCGTGACATACAGTATATATATTTACCCCTGTACTTCCAGGTGAGCCCAACTGAAAACTCCACAGCAGAAAAATGGAGGAATATCTTTTCCCTCTGTGTCCTAGATCTCTCAGCCTAATTATCCAGTAATATTGCGTGCCAGTGGTTGTAGTCGTAAAATGCCTGTCCTCGGTTCCTCAATGTTAATCCCTCTCCTTCAATAATAAGGCTGCCTTCTTTTACTGACTGGCCCAGTAAGTTTTGCTCAATGGAAATTCCACACACACAAACCCACACACACACAAACGGAATATCTGTCTCCTTTCTATTTGACTTAGGCCATTCATTCACAATGGTGCAGAATTAAAAGTCGTCCCTTTCACCTGTTCCTATTGTCCTCTTACAGGGGGAAACCTTGCATCTGAGATGACTTAATCCCCTGTGTTGGGTCCAGCACCTGTTTATATATTGACCTGTTGTATTCCTATTCAGCTGTGTTATTATGATTATAAATTACAGGGTTGCATGTGCTCGTAAAATCCAGTCCTGTGGAAAAAGTTCCGTAGTCACTCTGTTTCGTAGTCGGTATTGTTAAGTATATCCATTGAATTGCTCCATGGCATGCAGTCATGAACTTGGAAGATGATTCTGGCGATGGAAATATTTTTGTAGTTGTTTTCAGAGTGGTTAGTACATGTGATAGTATGTACAAATCCTGTATAACTCCGGCAGCAAAGATCAGATAACTAGGCGAATTGCATGACTAGAAAACAGTGAATGCAGTCAGACATAAAGTTCCCCTACATGTTGTCTTCTTTTTGTCCTTGCAGTGATTTCATGGGCAATTTCACTGGATCATTTCATGTAGAAATTGTCCTTGGTGTATAAAAACCGTGTCACCAACAATATGCCTGAGTAATGGCCCTATAGTTCTGCCTTCATTGACTGTGCTTCATAGTATTTTATTTGGTCACTGAATCACTGTGCCCAGTAGTACCTCTTGTGGTCAGTTATATACTGTGCCAGAGTACTCTTAGTGGTCAGTTATATACTGTGTCAGAGTACTTCTAATGGTCAGTTATAAATTATGTCCAGTGCACTTTTCTCATTCCATTTATGTGTGTCCTGAAATGCCTTTTACTTCTAAAACAATGCCCTATGTCTTAGTCACTCATTATATTACAATATCGCATGCAGAGTCCTTCCCTGTATATCTTGTTTTTAAAGACAACCCCGCAGATCAGAGGTCAGGTATTATGTTATTGTACATGACATCCACACTCCTTTGTGAAGATACCCTCTTGTAACTCAGGGTGTACAATTCCCTGTAATATACAGAATTGGTTTTGCTGTGATTTTTGTTTTAAAGAACAACCCCACAGGTCAGAGGGTCAAGTTGTGGTGTTATTCCATGTGACATATACACTTTTTGTGTGAAGGAATCCTGGGGATTCGGGGTAATAGGTGCAGACAGGTGTATGATGATGGGAACTTGATTAAATTCTAGCAGATCTAATACTGTCTAGATGGCTTTCATGTCAGTTTTGATGCAAACTGTTACTAGCTGTAGTTCTTCCAATGAAAGAGCTTAGAACTTCAGATATTTTAAGGGCAAGTTTTGTTACAGTGTTTCATAAAACTGTCTATATAGATCCAGAGTTGATCTTTAAGAAAAATTATGATCAAAATGAAGTAATTCAGTAGTGAAAGGATTCCTGCTGTCTGCCCTCTCAGTGAAGATAGAAAGGTGACACTTATCGCACGACCTTCATACCACAATACAAAAAAATCTGCTGTTGTTGGTTGCAAGTCAACAAGTTATGTTCAGTCACTGAGAAATAATATCCAATTCCAACAACGTCAATGAAATGAGGTACAGTTTGTTTCTTTTTCTACACGCAGCAAGGAGTCAACTTCTGGCGCGTGGTTCCGTGGTTTTGGAGATACTTTTCTCTCTGTTCCAACACAGTGTGCAGTGTGAACACAGCCTGAGTAAAAAATATCCTCTCTGATTTTCAAATTCCTGAAGTAGTTGTAGTAATAGTAGCAGCAGTGTGTACTCACAAATGGGACTTCAACAGCACTCAGCATGTATTAAGAGTCCAAGTGTAATTCAAGATAAAAAATCCCGTAAGAACACAACTCCCATTTAGCAGTGGTGATGTCGGAACTTGTATGGCCTTCTTAAACTCCCCTCAAGTGTAGAATGATATCCTGAAAGTAGAAAATGATATTTATGACCTGAACCCATATATATGTGTCAAATAGCACTTGTATACACACAAAGCTTCAGTTGCTGCATGTAGAAAAACTTGGAGAATATTCTAATAAGTTATGAGTGTTAGCAGTGGTATTTTGAGAAAACCGATGGCCTAAATCCCAGTCAAGTGTAAAAGAATGTCCATAAACTCTCTGTGTAATGTGTAGCTATGTTTATCTTAAGAGTAACACAATCATACAAGCTGAGTAGAGTTCCAGTCTATGTAGTTGCAGATAATCTCATTAGTTAATCTATGCTATGAACTTGTCTTAGACCCCATTCCCATACCTTAATCTATCTAGCAGGATCGGCCCATCTCCAAGGGGATTCCGGCTAAATTGCATTCAGCTTAAGTGGCTCTGATGTCTGGCGCACCTACTGAAGCTGTTAGCGGGTAAGTGCCAGACATCTAAGCCATTTACATTGAATGCATTTTAGCAAGAAACCCTGGAAGATGGGTCGATCCTACTAGATCTATCTAGGTGTGGAAACAGGGTCTTCATCATATTTATAACCCCTGACTATATAATTAAGTTGACTATTCCAGTTGAAGGTCTTACATATATATAGTAAGCTGTGCCAAAAGCCTGTCATATCTGTGACATAATTTAGCTTGTAGACATATAACCAAAGAGTTTTGCCAAGTATTTGTCTATGCTACACCACGGCCTGCTGTCAAAATAGATGCACGCTCTGTGTAGTTTAGATTAACTTAAAGGTAAATTCTTGTCTCAGAGTGCTGTGACAACAGCAACTGTCTAAGCAGGTCTATATTTTCTCCTTGCGGTGTACTGTACATTATAGAAAAATTCCTGCTTGCTGTCCTACTACTATGACAAGGACACCTGTCTCAGTAATTATGCTTACTCACCGTCGATTGCAATTTATATCAATGTTCATGTCCTCAGTTTTTTGGGAGCACCTTCCTATTAGGCTTGAAGACGTATATCCTCTGTATATTTTATATTTAGAGAGGTCCAGTACATGTACTTAGACTCCAGTCTCTGAAGTTATCTCCCGTCTTTTAACACAGGTGACAGAAACACCTGTTCAGACTCTCCTGTTTTGCTGTGGTAAAACCTCACCTGTTCAGGTGTTCATATAATATATAACCTCGTTATGTCACCTGGCGGGGATTGCACTGTCTTTCACTCCACACGCACACTGAGGACATTAAAGTTGAAGACAGGTGTCTAATACACCTGTATACACCTGTCTTGTTTACAGATGTACCTGTGGTCTCAATATAAATGTGCGGTGTTCTGTTTACTTGTTCTCTTAGCCTCAGTCAGTGTGAGCCTACAAGGGGAACTAAACCACACAATTATTTTTGGGTCTGCGTTCGAGTCAACAGTCGATCCTGTTACCAATTCCTCATACCCGAAGCATGAAGCACGTAGAAAGTTGATTACTGTAAAGTTAGTAGGAACACAGACGATCTGCTCCAATGAAGCTTATCTTGGTATGAGTCCACAGTCGTCGGGTTTAGACGTCCTCTTTGCGCTTGTACAGCTCACTGAAAGCTAAAGGTGACCTGTGATTTTCTACCCGTGAAATTTGCTCAATGCATACAAATACAGGTGATTCTCCCCACTGCATGCATGAACTGTTGACGTCTTTAGTAGAACTGCCCTGAGTTGTAGCATAAAAGAGGTCACTGGTTGTGATCCAACAAGATAAGCCGTTGTCAATTGACCTGCACAGCATGTGTGAATCCCAATTGTGCAGGAGATATGCTTTGGAAGTTGTAATATTTGTAATTACACTCTTCTGGGAACATTTAAATTGCAAAAACTTTCAAGTTTCTGAAGTTACACTACAGTTTTGCCCTCTTCTGCCTACAAGTCATATATCATAAGTGACACATTCAGTTCTTTTTGTCACAGCGCCATCTGGTGAAGATTTCAATGTGTCGTCTGCCACTGTTGTAAATGGAAGCAGATGTGGATAGGACTGTCTTGCTTGTAGGTGGTCCTTATTAGGGCGTAACTGGTACTTAAAAAGTTCAGTTTTTGCCCATGACTCATCTTTACAAATTCATGTATAATTGAAACCTGGAAAAGGGGAAATAGAAAACCTAAATGCAGTTTATGTTTAAACTTGTTCAATGGTTTGGTATAAAAAAAATATACATGATAGCTGCCAGCTGCAAATCCAATGCCAAATCGGGTTAATATTTGATTTGAAAGAGAGCAGTCTCTACAACAGTGTAATAAACTTAAGTCTTCATCTAAAACTGTGCAACTGGGTATAAAACAAGGGTCTGATGGCTTAGTGTGCAATAATCTTTATGGAACACTTCCTAAAACAGCCTTTGCGAAAATCTTTTGGGGCTAAGTGTTCTTCAGACAATCAAGGTGTATTTAAAGGTGGACAAAATTTATACAACTATAAACTTTTTTGGCTGGCCTGGTGCTGCTTTAGCTTCACCACTGCATCAAGCTAGTTCCTAATTACACAGATTGCTATTAAAAGTTTCCTCCTGATGTCTTAGGGCGTATTCCCAGAGCTTTTAGATTGATCTATCCCCGTGGGGATTACTGTCAGATAATTCGGCTTAAATGTCCGTCCCGCCTACTACAAGCTGTAAGGAGGTAATTAACTTTCGTGTCCGCCCAGCTGACAGCTATTTAGCATGAACCCGCAGGGAGTTAGGTCGATCTAAAGTAGGTCGATCTAATCTCTGGAAATGGGGTCTAAGACTGAACTTTGAGCAGCAGCCTTCAGTAGGTCCCTTTTGGTATAATTCGAAAAAAAATAGATGATGATTGCTTCAGCGCCTGACAGTCATGACATTCCCAGACTTGAAATGATAGCCGTAGAGAAGCTGTACTCTGATATGATGTGGTGAAATAAATGATGATGGTTTTACAGATATGACATCAACACCGACTCAGACTTCATAATAGACTTTTTAATTCTGGTTAGCATAGCTACTAAAAAACTGTATACTGACATAATTTAGAGAAATAAATGGTGATGGTTTTACAGATATGACATCAACACCGACTCAGACTTCATAATAGACTTTTTAATTCTGGTTAGCAATAGCTACTAAAAAACTGTATACTGACATAATTTAGAGAAATAAATGGTGATGGTTTTGTAGATGTTGCATTAATACAAACACAGACTTGATAATAGTGGTGCATGTTTTCTGTTCTATTTAAGCTGAAACATTCATCAGTCACACATCTGCTACTGTTTTTGGCTGTGGTTAGACCAAGGTAAACTTAAGCCAGATATTGTCTACCATTAACAAAATATTGTATGCCATAAACCTGATATTTCCAAACTTAAAAAAATACTGTCTACCGTAAATCAGATATTTTCAAACTTTCACCAGATATTGTCTGTACCATAAACAAGGTCTTTGCCAACATGAACTGGACATTGTTCATGTCTAACTTAAACAGAATATTTTCCAACATAAACCAGAAATTGTCTTATTAGAACCATATATTTTCTACATTAAGCCAGGTAGTTGAGCAGTTAAACAACTCAAATTTTAAAGTACATGAGAAGATTTATTTAGGAGGAATGGCACATAAAAATAATCAGGAAAAACTGTGGTTGACTAAAATTGAGGATGGTGTCTGTTGTGGCTGATGATAAGTGGCATCTTCATTTAACAGCTGTGGCTGCAAGGTGAAGATTAATAGGCAGCTATTTTTATCCCAACAAAATAGAAAATCCACAAAATTTCACTTTATTTTGCCAGTACCTCTTGCGTAAATAACATTATCAATTATATGTTTTCAAAGAAAGAGATAAATTTAATATATATTATATATGCTTTTTATCACTTGAGAGAAATAACTATAACCTCTAGCATTTAAGAAAAAACGGATGTTAAATTGACACTGTTGCAAATAGGGACAATCTTATCCAGAAAAAGTATAATAATTATAGTAATTTAGGTTATTCAAAATAATTTTCAATTTCAACAAAGGTTAGTTTCAGTCATCAATTTTCGGCCTCAGACAGAAAACAGTTGAAGCCAGCGCCAAAGGCGGGTGATTTACGAAGGTTGTCTTCCAACAGTAAGGAGAAATCCCTATACTTCATTAAAAATCAGTAGGTGAATGCTGCTGTAGTGATTTCTGGAGGCAGAATTAATACATTTCAAGTTTATTTTCTAACAGTTAGTTGAAGTTTTCATGCTTCGTTGAAATTCTGTTGAAATTGCGTAGGTGAACTCCACTAACAGAGCTGTCATGTTGGGATGATAAATCTATTTGTCCCTCCAAGATATATGATTTTTTTGCAAGCTGAGGATGTCATTAGGAAGTCATTAGTGAAACTTAGCCTTCCTCTGAGGGATGTTATTTGAATTTTAATGTTGAAAGTTGCTCTTTGTATTTCTCTTTCTGTCCTTTGGCCTTTTGCCACTGTGAACCATTGACGTCTGCTTGCATGTACTGATATGTTAATGACTCGGATCTTTTCAATTGGCAAAGATGATCAAACTTTGAGATACATAATTTTATAATCACAAACATTTTATTTGTATATAGCATTTGTAATGCTTTTACTGCACAGAATAGAAGTATGCAGTAGCCCACTTTAATTGTGTTGCTACCACTCAATAGGAATGTTTAAGAAATTATGACTTGAAAAATTGAATGAAATATGAATTAAAAATTGACAATTCCCCCCCCCCCCCATTGAAAAGATTGAGCAGTTACTGTATATTGATAAATTTAAAAGGGTTATTGCAATTAAAATGGTTGAATATATATTTAGAAAGTATTTTTAAAATTTTCTGAACCAAGAGACAGTGAAGAAGTTTGGGTTGAGGGGAAATGTCTAGGTAGTCAACAAATGAGTGGCATTTATTGACGTAATTTTGTGTTAATTGCTACGTTTATCTCAGGTACCTGAGGTTTCAGTTAAATGTTAGAAGCCTAAGTTGGCTGTGAAAAGCGCAGTTGTTTGAATGTCACTGCACAAG